TCTGTGCACAGCTTCTTTCTTATATCATGTTTTGGAGTTACCCTTTGATGCATCTAAACTCCTAATAAGGGTCACCCCACATCCCTGATGCTCCAGAGCTAGACATAAAGCGTGAAAGCAACTGAGCTTCCAGCATTCTCTCTATCCCTCTACAAAACAGCCCTAATTTATTCTTCTGGGTAGATTTCAAGGAAGTCTAACAGTTTGTTTTGCTCGTAGATAAAGTTTGCTTCTAGTAAACTTAATTTCCCCAGACAAGAGACAAACTGGACTATAGTATGTTCCAAGTTGTGACCTCTAACAAAATTTTGAACAGTTGAGAAAATGATTTAAACAAAAGAAAACTAACCTTTTGTAGGTTGTACATTTTTCCCTAAGTTTTTTTTAATTAAACTATTTTTTGCAGTATGAGTTACACTGTAAGAACAATATTTATTTGTAATGACTTTTACATGGCAAAATAAAACCTTCCATCTCCTGGCATTATTTCTACAGGGCTAAGTATGTGGATGTGAATCATTTATGATTATAAAATAGCTTAGTATTTTATTGTTCTTCACTCAACCAAATCCATTTTGTTCAAAGGAACAGTGCATGGAGAACACTGAATTGTTCAATAATTGCACAATTTTCTCTTATCTATTTGCGTTGGAGGTCATGTGGCCTCTTGGGGGGGAGGAGAAGATACTATTTTGTATCCAACTTAACAAGCCATATACTTACTAGTGATTCTCAATTCTTAAAAAAATAAAAGAACATATCAGAAATAGCCTCATGTTATCAGCCAACACGTCTGAAATGGTAAACTGAATATAACAGTTATTATGGTAAACATTTAAAAATTTTTAAAATTCTTAGCTAATAAAGATATATTCTCATTTGTCAAATGAGAAAACAGATTTTTAAAGTTTCAAAGGTACAGGGAGTAAATCGTAAAACAGGACTTGAGTTCAGAGTTGTTAAACTGCATAACCCAAGTTTTCTCCATTATTCAATACTTTTAAAATATATTTTAATTCTTTTGAATCTTGTTTATAAGAAATGTATCTATCAATAGCTATTACTTTAATTTGGATTAACAGTCAAAAAACAGTGCTTATGCTATTTCATCTGCCAGGTCTGATCTTCTTTTTAGCAATACTATGAAAGTCATGACCAATGCCAATTGGACAGCTGATCCAAAGATGAGTGGCTAATCCAAAGAGCACACAAGTAAGGGAAACTGTCTTCCTTCAAGATACTAAGTACATAAAATTGAGCATCCAGTCACAGGATCAGTATTAGGACATATTTGTTTATTTAATTAATTTATTAATTTATTTATTTTTATTAATCTTCACCCAAGGATACCTTTTCCATTGATTAATTTTAGAGAGAGTGGAAGGGAGGGACAGAGGGATAGAGAGACAGAGAGGGAAAGAGAGAGAAGCATCAGTGTGAGAGAGACACATCGATTGGTGATCGGTTGCTTCTTGCACGTGCCCCAGCTGGGACCAGGGTAGAACCTGAGCCTGCGAGAGAGATACCTGCCCTTGACTGGGAATGGAACCCTCGACCCTTCAGCGCTGACGCTCTAACCACTTAGCAACACTGTCCAATATTAGGACATTTTTAAAAGATCTGAGAATTGTGAGTTTACTATTTTAAAGTTGTTCCTACATTTATTTTTATATTGTTATTTTTTATAAATGCTATAAAATTAAGAGGGAATGGTTTTATGTTTGAAGAGGATAGATAAAGAAAGAAGAGATAGGCCTCATAAAAGTCTGGTTCAAATTACAAGCTAAATTGCAACACTTTCAGTCAAACCAATTTGGCCAATATCTATGGAGAATTCATTACTTCCTCAAACAGGTTAAGACATATGTTTGCTTTCTCAATATGCTGAGCTCTAGGAAAACACAATATAATACTATTCTGATAAGTTAAAACTAGGAACCCAAACAGTCAATGTATCTTCCTGAAGGTCTTAAGTTTTCCCATAGAGTAATTATTCAATCCTAATTTCACAACTTTTACATCTTAACTTTAAAAGAACTGTTTAAAAATTTGATATTGTTTAACTACGTCAAAAATAACTCTTGGCGGCAAAAATAGTCATTCTAATAAAAATGTTTGTTTATATTAAACATTATTTAGATAATAAGTTGACAAAAGATTTTGTCATTTAGCACTGTAACTTCTCTCTGCTAATAAAAACCTCTGCCAGGGATAATCCTGAAGAAAACATTAGCCTTTGATACAGATAAGCATTTACATTTCCTATCTCAATGTCCACAGCATTTTTTCTTTATTATAATAATACAAGTTTCATGTTCAGATCATTAGAGAAGTTAAAACTAAAAATAAAATAAACTGCATTATCTTTATATGAATGACTTTGGCCATTTTTCCTTCCTTGCTTGTTTCTACTTTTCTTTCATCTTTTACTCCATATAATCATCACATAAAAAAATGTTTTGAGTCTCTACTATAAATCAGGTATCTTACACATATAATGAGTTTTCTAAGACTGTGATTTTGTGCAGCTAAAGATGTCAAGGCGCTGAAAAGTCTTCCAAAATCATGAAGGGAGCAGGAGTGAGATAGTAGCTGAAAATGTGAACAGTGTTTTTTAAAAGGCAAGTGGATTGCTCTTCCTTTTAAGAAATGCATTTTCTTCACTTTGTAAGTTATATGAATGTGCTGAAACTACTATGATACTAATAATAGTTTCAGATACTTCTGAAACTAATATGATATTCAGTATCAGTTGTAATTGGAAAATAAAAGCAATTTATAAAAAAAAAATGTATTTCTTAGAAATATCACACCATTTTTTGACAACATATTTAAATATGCATTTTTGAATTAATAAAGACCAAGAGTAAGTTGGATGAGCCCACTGCTCATTGGAACTCAGTTCTCTTAGTCAAACATGGTTCCTCAAACAAATCATTATTAAAATTTTAGCTATTTCTTTTTTATGAGCCAGTAAGATTACTTATAATAAAGGAATGCTGTATACTCTGGGCCCTTAAAAATAAGATAATGTAGAAAACATTCTCATCTAAAAACAACACAAAATAAACAAAACAAAACAGTAACCAAAACAAAATTGTAATGAGACACCCAAGTCAATGAACCTTGATGTTTCTTTTCTAACTCTCCACTTTTCTGTTTAGTGTTGAGCAATAGCCTTGGGCCTTTTCCATGATAGACAATTGGAGCACTGTTCCAATACTTTTATCAGAGTCAGGCTTTATGGACCATTTATTGTGTAAGCAAAGTAAAACTATATTTATGGAAAAATAAAACTTAAGTGAAGTGACTGGACATGTCTTCCTTGCTTAAAAACACCAACCTTTCATTGTTGATGATATGGGATGGGAGTAATAGTGAAGTCTTTTAACCTTGTTCAGAGGCAAAGTGAGATTTAACTTGCATCACATTTCTTGGTAAGTCAGCCATTTTAGTAATTTCAGAAAAAGTTTACCACTAGTATGTCCATAAAATGGCAATTCCTTTGTTCAGATAGTTTCAACCCTATTATTTTTTCTGCCTAAACCCATATTTCATGTAGTCTCTAGATGCTTATAGAAGTTTCTTTTGAATTTGATAGTAATCTAATACCCCCTGTAACAATTATACAAGTCAAAAAAGCAATAATCACCATCAATAGAATCTAAGAGTCACAAGAACAGGGACCATATCTGTCTGTTTCATTCTTTTCTCCCTAGGGCCTAGAAAAGATCTCAGCATATATGATGAATGAATGAATGAATGAATGAATGAATGAATGAATGAATGAATGAATCCAGTGGAATTACCAACAGTCTTTTTATAGCCTTTCTGTACACTTATTTCAGTTTCAAATGGCTATGTGATGTATGTCAGTATTGAAGAAGCTCTCTCAAAGTGTTTGTTTTTCAGTTATTATTTAACAAGCTATGTTTTCCTGGGTCCCTGAGTGTAGTTTATTCCCACTGTAGAAGTTGGTGCAAAATCCTGCTAGAAAGCATGTTTTGAATAAATATAAGATTTCTGAAAAAAGTGTCCTACTATGCTATGTGTTTCTTCCACAGGGAAATGCACCATGGTAGAATCATTCAGTGAAGATTTTTTTTTTTCTCTTTCCAATAAGAAAATGTACCAAAAGAAAGAGGAATGTGAATCAGCTGCCATGTAAACTAAGTCGATTCCCTTTTGGCCCATGTGCTGGGGCCTCAAACTTTCTGGAGATTTATCTTCTGAGTGTATTGCTCTTGAAATTCCCAGGCCAAATTTTTCTTGACTATGATAAATCAAATTGTATTTACAGTGTTGGGCTAAAGATCTGTGCTCTGTGCTTATGTTGAATATTTACACCATATGTTAGTTGTAAAGATTTACTTTGAAAGTTTCTAAAGAATATAAACAGCTACAGATTACAAAAAAAAAAAAAAAATACCAACAATAAAGGTAAAACTAAGACCCAGAGATTAAGGGAGTATTTTGGTACTTGAAAGATAATTTTTTGTTCTCAAAGTTTAGATGCTTTGCTTCTGATAACTCTGCATACTTTACAATTTAGTAATGTTTGAACTCTGTGTTTTGAACTAAGCCAAGAACAGAGAGATGGCCCAAGTTTTCTTAATGTCTAAGATTTCATGGGGGGAAAAAATCATCAAATTAAAATAAACCATCACTCTGCAATCACAGAACGTAAGACATAGTTTTGCTTAAAATTGTATCTTATAGAAGGGAGCACCATGAGGTTCAAAAAGATTTCTTTTTAAAAGTAACTTGTCCAAGATTGCAAAGTGATAGAGCTGTGACTTAAAAAAAAGAAAAGAAAAAATATCTTTTAACCTTGAAGCTACTTCTTTCTATCCTACTTTGCTTCCTTTACTTCTCATTAGGTGGCACTGTGTCTCAAATTTGGAAATGCAGAGATTAAAAGGGATAGTTCTAAATTCCCAGGAGCCATTCCCAGGAAAATAACAAACAAGGTGGGTAAAGAGAGCCTGCACTCCACTCACCCAAATCTGAGCACTGGACAACTCGAAGATGGCATTGACAGCGGAAGGGACACACTGGTCCCAGAACATCTGCGTCAGGAGCATCAGGACTGCGGTAATGGTCATCTGAGTCTGCCCCAGAAGCCTCATCTCCAAGCATGAGGTCATAAAAGTCAAATATGCTTCTCTGTTGAAACGGTCCGGCCCAGGAGACTTGAGCAAGCAGGAGAAAGATGATAGTTGCCTTCATGATTTATCTCATGTATTTTCACAACCAAGGAACCTAGGAAATAAACAAAAGGTTTAGAAGAGCAGCCTTGCTTAGTTTATAATATACCCCATAGTAGAATGAGAATAAAGAAAGTAAAAAATAATATAATAATAATATATTGTTAGGAAGCAGAGCATTAGAAACATATTTAAATGGTGGTAAGACTAATTTTCATGACTATTCACTTACGAAGAAATATTCAAATATTATTTAACTTGGCTTGTTTTGAATTTAGGGTCTCAATTATGGTCTGAATTAAGACAATATGTTATATATTCACATCATTTACATAATTGTTAAGGATAAATTGTGTTGAAATTTTTCAATGTTTACTCAACACAAGACATGCCGTAGTCAAATAAAATTTTGTCTATACACTTGAGAGATCTCTAATTCCTGCTTCAGAAGTATCTTTGAAAGCCAATCTTATCTCTCCATCTTATTGTATTTATCTTGGTCCAGGCCATTCTCATCTCCTAAAAGTATAGTAAGAGCTTCCAGTTGGTATCTCCCTTGACTATTCCCTCTGCACCAGGCCATCTTCCACTCTGCTGTCCAAGTCATCTTCTAAAAATTCAATTTAATTGTATTACTCTTCTACTGGAAACCCTTTGTTGACCTCCATGGCTTGCCAAAAAGGTCTACATCCCCTGTGGCGCATTTTAAGATGGTTCATAATGTGGTACCAACTGATATTCTAGCGACATTTCTCTCCATTTTCTCTTCTCTCCCAGTGCCCACCTCAACCCTGATCCTCAAAGCTAATTGTCATTTAAAATACCTACCTTGTAGGAGTGTTGTAAAGATTAAATGAGATAATAGGCTTCCCCTGTGCTTGTCCCTGGCACATCCAGGCAGGATGCTCTTCTGTGCTCCCAGGAACCTTGCTCTTAACCTCTTTTAAAGAACTTATCACATTTTATTGTAATTTGTTTTGCCTGCTGGGTCTGTCCCCCAACCCCCCCAATAGAAGATGTACTCCTTCAGGGCGTGTCTTATTATTTTTGTTTTGTACCAAGCCTTGCACAATATTCTGCACATAAATGACTCAACTGACCATTAATTTATTAACACCAGTTATTCAATTTGTGCTAAGCAGCCAGTCAGTCTGATTTTTTAAACACCAATTATCTTTTTTTTCAATATCAAATTTCTAGCACAAGAAAGATATGAAATTGAAAACCGCAACTTGGTATAAGCAAGATTCACTTTTAAAAATAATTCTATTGGATAGTTTCTCAAACTGATCATTTTAAATGAACCAATAAACACGTGTGGAAAATACTAACTGATTTTTATGTGGCTCATATATTATTTAGTTTTACCTATAGGACTACTTTGTAAACAAACAAAAAGTACATTTTTGACAAATCCATACAATATTTATCCATTCATTCATTAAGCACTATGTATATATAAATCTATGTTGTTGAATTGGTGGTTTAGTTCGCCTAGTGAACTAAATAAAGTTGACTAATAAATCTGAATAACAAAAATTGTTTGATCATGTAGAGAGCAAGCAGTCAATTTTTGAGTTGATATATTTAAAAAATAAGTAAAACCATTGAAACTGTTCTAAGTATTCCCGTAATGTATTGCAGATATTATCTTTAGTCCTATCATTGCTACTTTGAATTGTACACGTATAAGGGTCCAAAGTAAAGCTGCACATTTATAATTAAATTAAATAATTGTTTGGAGTTGTTATCCAATTGTAGCATAAGAAAAACAAGCCTTTGTATGCCCTAACCCTAATGTATGTTCGGGAAATTTTTACCTAGATCCACTACTGGAAAGGGAATAAATATTTTTCAATTTTTTATACTTTTGTTTCTTAGTTTATATTTATTACTGAAGTATCATGAAGGCAGCACACATACAATATGGGCTTGTGGATTTTCATTTAAAAATACTACTAAGGTTAATTATTCACACTGCCCCTTTAAGTTCAGTATCAGGTTTCCCCTCGGAGCCCATTCCCACTCACTAAGGTGCCTTTTAACGGAGACCCTATTGTTTTGGCAGTGTTGCCCTTGGATTGGATCTAAGGAAAGTGTTTTCTGTCTGTTTCACATTAAAATGCAAAGTTTATGGTTTACCACAAGTTTGCTAGCCTTGCATATTTAATGTCTCACAATTTTAGAAGAAAAATGAAGTAAAGTAATTGCAGATTTAATAAATAGCAACTAGAATTAATGCAGATGTCACTTTTTTATCTTTTCTCGAGAACAGAAAGTATCTGGTTGCTTCACTAACCCACAAAAGGGAATGTTGCACGTTAGCTCAAAAAATATTATCATTTATATTTAGTTACTCTTGGTAAAATGGTGCAAATTCTCTATGCAAAATGCTTTCTGGCTGAAGCTGAATGCAAACAGGCAGCTTATAGCTGTCGTGTGTGTGTGTGTGTGTGTGTGTGTGTGTGTGTGTGTGCATTTTAACCCTGATTGTCCTGGGTAATAATACTAACATGTCCAGGAACTTTATACAAGTTACTCCATGAATTAACTTCTTTTAAATTAGAGTTCTGATACTTGAACACTCAGCATCTTAAATCAATTAATGTGGGCAGTTGGTCCTAATAATTTCTTTAATCGTTTCCTTCTTTCCTTAAGAAGTCCGAAAAATAAACAAAAAACAACAGTGACTCATGTAGAAACCAGGCAGGCTATTATTGAGATGATAGGCTTTTAAATTTCATTAAACTGTTTTAAGTACTGTCGAATGTATGACTCCTAAATGCTAATTGCTAAGAATAATGTCACTACTTCATTAAAGCTCATTGCCATAATTTATAAGTATTTTATCAGAAATAACCATCTCTGGTTCCTTAAACCACTTCAGCCCATTAAATTAACTATATCATTCAGATCAACATTTGTATGATGTCATTTATGCCTTTGGGGTGACTATCAAAGTCAAAATTTAACCCTCAGGAGATAAGCGAAGCTATAAATGCAGAGCAAAATTAAAAACCACCAGCACTAGGTGAATTAAAAACCTCAATAAAATAAAATAATTTTAAAATAAACAATAAAACCACATTTATCCATAAATAAGGGCTGCTATAGGAGGTGTTTAGTTCATTTTCTTGTCAAAACAGCAATTGGAAGGAAAAAAAACCCACAGGTATTTACATCACCAGAGCTCACTTAACAAGTGGTCATCATGTTATCCTGTTTGCAATTAGAAAAAAAATCTAACTTACACCCTCACTGCATTGTGAATATATCTTATAAAATTTCATTTGTACTGAAAATACAGACAGAGTCTCTTCTTTACATTTAAGAAATTATGTAGCTAAATGTGATATTATTTTAGTTGAGTCTTTAATAATCAGCATAAATGTATTCAATGTTTATTTTCACCTCTGGTGATTATTTATATTCTTTTCTAGGTTGTAGAAATGTACACTAAACTTCTACAACTAATGACCGGAGTTTACTTCTCTTAGTAACCTCCTAGGTTTTAAAAGTTCTTAAAATATACAAGAAGTCAGGAAGGAAATAAATCCTTAAATACATAACCCAACTACGAATAATATGCTAATCTAGAATACTTTTCTATGAATACATTCTAAAGAGCTAAACATTTCATTAGTACAAATACAAATATATAAATATAGATAGTCATGGCGTTAGGTCATAGATTTTTAATAAACATCTTTTTTTTTTTTTTGCAAGAACAGAAAGAACTAAAACAATGCATTTAATCATTTAACCCAATTTTCAACTTCCGTTTCCAAGCAATACTTTTTTAAAATGCTGCATAAAGATTCTTAAAAAGTTTAGCACAGTTTACTTTTTCTTTTCTTTTTCTCACCAAATAATCTCTCTTTCCCTCTACTTGATCAAAGTTTTATTAGTCTGTAGCAGAGTTCAGGACAATTATCGAAAGCCATACCTTTTAATCCGGGGATTTGCCACAGGAGCCCTCAAAGCTGAGATGTAATTACACTAAATATTCAGCCCAAGCAAAAGAGTTTGCAGGTGTGGGAAGGAGGAGGGGGTAGGTGCTGCTCTGTGCCTGTCACTAGGTTGAAAATCTCCTGCTTCTACTCCATAGCCCAGATAAAAAATAAGGTTTCCCTCAATGAACACTACCCGGCTGACACCCACATTAGATCATATGGTAATGATATGTCTCTTGTATTGTAGCCAGAAAGTTTATTGGCCTTTTTTTCTCCCCATTTGCCTAGTTCCTTTTACATCTGCTTAAGATTCTAAACTGCTTGTATAGCACAGTGGAGGAACTTGACTTGAAATTTGTTTTATTGTGTCAATTCAGTGCCCTAAAATATCGTAACTAAAGGGTTTGTTTCCCCACCCCCACCCCAACCCCGCTCTCCACCCTTTCTAGCCTTGTTCCTAAGGAACATCTATTATACTTCGGCAACGACAGTTTTCCTTGCTTTCAGGTCGTGTAAGTCCGGCAAATGGAATGAAATGAATCTTGTAGTTATTTTAAATGTGGTCTGTGAAAATAAATGAGTGGCCTTCTGTGAAAACACTCCCTCGGATTCTTACTTGCCTTGGGCTCTTTGTGCAAATTCAAGTGCTCTGCGGGGGAGGTTTTCTATATATTTTGAATGTGTTTCTAAAGTGTCCTGGATGAAAGCCATGGTTTTATAGAAAAAGCATATCATTTATTACGTTCATTGCTCATACTTAAAATCTTTCTTGTTTCTACTAGTTTTTTTTTTTTTTTAATAAAACACACAGATTTCTAAAAGTTGGCCACATTTTATTTTAGGCTGTAAAACTTTTATTTTCAAAAATTAGACTTTTATATAACCTAGAGGCAATAGAGTCTATGGCTTTTTCCAAATTTCAGTAGAGAAAAGACAGTGCAAATACAAGGAAAGTCATTTATTTAGCTACTGGAAGATTTTTCTGAATGTTTTTAATTCCCCTGCTGGTTGCTGTTAGTTGTCTCTGCATCTCTCTGTTTTGACTTGTATCTTTATGCTCGCCCCCCAGGCCATTACCAGGTGGAAACTTGAAATCAGCATCTGTGAAACATGAGAGGACCCCCTCCATTCTCCACCCTCCCTCCTTCCAACCTCCAGCCATCTAAGTATACAATTCCACAGCAAATACTCTTTTGCCTTGATGAAACTTCAAGGAATTAAATTTTTGAGTGGGTAACTAAATGAGGGGAAAGGGTGTTATCACATTATATTTTACCTTATTTCCCAAGCCCCACCTCCCTAATTTAACACCTTACCCTACTCCTCTTTTCCTTGATTTTTAATAACCACAAGCTCAGTAATTCTGATGTTTTAGAGAAGGGTAAGTATTATTTTCCCTGGACATTGGTGCAAATGATCCCCTTACCTGGATTAATTTTTTCCTCTGATATTCTCTTGTACGGCATTTATCTCTTTCTTAAGACATACGGTCACTTCTTTATATTATACTTATTTATCTACATGTCTTATCCCAAGGGAGGAAGCACAGTGTCTTCATATTTGTAGAGCCCCTGAACCCAACACAATCATGGTATATAATAAATTTCCAAGAAACACTTGAAAGACTCCATAAAGACACTGAGATCATTAGTTATGGATCACACCGTGATTACTATTTTGCCAAGCCCTGGTTTGTCCCTCATCAAAACCCAACCCTACTAAAGTATATTTGAAGAATAACAGCAAAAATTATTTCCAGGGAGGGAAGGAAGGAGGGGAAAGGGGAGGAGGAAATAGGAAGG